GCAGGACTTATGAATGGAGCTTTAAACTACGTTCAAAGGGGGAAGGGGATAACACCCGGTTCACTAGACATGAGCCATTGGGTTGTGTGCTGCTGCTGGAGTCCAGATCCACAGGACAACTTAAATGCATTTATACCAATACCTGCAGCATGAACAACAAAGAGGAGGAGCTGGGAGTCATTGTGTAGAAGGGAAATTGTGACATAATTGCCATCACAGAAATGTGGTGGAATGATTCACATGATTGGAGTGCTGCAGTGGATGGCTACAGCCTCTTCAGAAGGGATAGGCAAGGAAAAAACTGTGGGGTTGTACTGTATGTCAGAGAGCACAGTGACTGCCTTGAATTCAGCGTTGTGAGTGAGAAGGCAAGGCTGGTCTGTGTGTAAAGATCAGGGGGAAGGCCAACCAAGCTGATATCCTGGTAAGAGTTTGCTATAGACCACCAAGGCACGATGAAGTAACAGATGAAGTGTTCTTCAAACAGCTGGGACAAGTTTCATGATTGCTTGCTCTTGTCCTTGTGGGGGACTTCAACCTACCAGATGTCTGGTAGTACAACACAGCAGAAAAGAAACAATTCATGAGGTTCTTGGAAGGTGTGGAAGGTAACTTCCTGATCCAGCTGGTGAGTGAGCCAGCTAGGAGAGATGCATGGCTTGATTTGCTGTTCCAAACAGAGAGGACTGGCGGGTGATATGATGGTTGGAGGCCGTGTTGGGCAAAGCAATCATGAAATGACTGAATTTTCAGTCCTTGGAGAAGTCAGCAAGAAAGTCATCAAAACGTCTACCTTAGATTTCCAAAGGGCTGACTTTAGCCTGTTGAGGATGCTGGTTGGCAGAATTTCTTGGGAAACATTGCTGAAGTACAAAGGGGTCCAGGAAGGCTGGACCCCCATTCAAGAATTAAATCCTTAAGGCACGGGAGCAGGCGGTCCCTGTGCGCTGAAAATCAAACTGACAGGTTAGAAATCAGCCTTGCTAAACAGGGAGATAGTGCTGGAACTCAGGTAAAAAAGAGAATCTATCACCTGTGGAAGAAGGGACTGTCACCCCATGAAAAGTACAAAGATGTTGTTAGGCTGTGTAAAGTTACAAAGGTGAAGGCAAAGATGGAACTAAATCTGGCCACTGCCATAAAAGATAATAAAAAGTACTTTCACAAATGTATTAGCAGTATAAGGAGGGGCAAGGAGAACTGCCATCCTTTATAGAATACTGGGGAAAAGCTAGTAACCAAGGATGAGGAAAAGGCTGAGGTACTTATGCTTACCTTTGCCTCAGTCTTCAGTAGTCACACCAGCCATCCCCAGGGTATTCAGTTCCCTGAGCTGGATGGCAGAGAAGGGAGCTGACTGAAGTCCCTGTAATTCAGGAAGAAGTGGTTACCAACCTCCTGCTCCAGTTAGACGTATGCAAGTCTATGGGGCCAGATGGGTTAAACCTAAGAGTGAAGGAGCTGGCAGAGGAGCTTGCCAAGCCATTCTCCACCATCTATCAGCAGCCCTGGTGTAATGGGCAGGTCCTGGAGGATTTGGTGTTGGCCAGTGTGAAACCTCTCTACAAAAAGGGCAGGAAAGCAGACCCCAGAAGCTGCAGGCCTGTCAGCCTGAGCTCAGTGCTGGGGAAGGTCATGGAGCAGATGATCCTAAGTGAGATCACAAAGCACACGTAGGAAAATAGAGGGATCAGGCCCAGTCAGCACAGGCTCATGAAGGGCAGGTCCTGCTTGACCAACCTGATCTCCTTCTACAACAAGGTGACCCATCTGGTTGATGAAGGAAAGGCTGTGGATATTGTGGTTTTGGTTGATGAAGGAAAGGCTGTGGATATTGTGGCTTTGGATTTAAGTAAGTAAAGCATTTGACACTGTCTCTCACAGTGCTCTCCTGGAGAAACTGGCTGCTCATGGCCTGGAAGGAGGATTCTTCACCAGGCTGGAAACTGCCTGGAGGTCCCAGCCCAAACAGTGGTGGTAAATGGCATCACATCTTGCTGGCAACCTGCCACTAGTGGTGCCCCTCAGAGCTCACTGTTAGGGCCAATGTTCTTTATATCTTTATTGACAATCTGGATCAGGGGATCAAATGCACCCTCAGTAAATTTGTGGATGACACCAAGTTGGGTGGGAGTGTTGATCTGCTGAAGGATAGGAAGGCTCTGCAGAGGGATCTGAACAGGCTGGATTGATGGGCTGTGGCCAATGGAATGAGGTTCAACAAGGATCAGTTCTGGGTCCTGCACTTGGGCCAGAACAAACCCATGCAATCCTACGGACTTGGGGCAGAGTGGCTGGAAAGCTGCTCTGCAGAAAAGGACCTCAGGGTGCTGACTGACAGAGATGAACATGATCCAGATTGTGCCCAGCAGCCAAGAAGGCCAACAGCATCCTGGCCTGTATCAGCAATGGTGTGGCCAGCAGGGCCAGGGCACTGATCATCCCCCTGTACTGAGCACTGGTGAGGCTGTACCTCCAATCCTGTGTTAATTTCTGAGCCCCTCACTACAGAGACATTGAGGTGCTGGAGTGAGTCCAGAGAAGGGCAACGGAGCTGGTGAAGAGCCTGAAGCACAAGTGTGATGGGAAACAGCTGAGGGACCTGGGGGCATTTAGTCTGGAGAAGGCTCAGGGGGGACCTTATTGCTACCTGAAAGGAGCTACCTGAAAGGAGGTTGTAGTGAGGTGGGGGTCAGTCTCTTCTCCCCAGTAATAAGCAATAGGACAAGAGGTAACAGCCTCAAGCTGCACCAGGGGAGGTTCAGGTTGGATATTAGGAAAAATTTCTTTGCTGAGAAGGTGATTAGGCATTGGAACAGGCTGCCCAGGGCAGTGGTGGAATTACCATCCCTCAAAGTGTTCAAAAACCATGTGGATGTGGCCCTGAGTGACATTATTTAGTGGTGGACTTGGCAGTCTTGGGGTAATGCTTGGACCTGATGATCTTAAAGGTCTTTTCCAACCTAGACGATTCTATGATTTCTGCTGAGGAATTTCAGGAGTGCAAATTATCCTTATTTATACTGCAGTAGCTTAGAGATCAATGATCCCATATCAGTTACTTGAGGTTTAGTCATGGTTCCTTTATTTTGCCTTTCGCCAGGGTGTATTTTCTTTACATTGTTGGGCCGGGCAAAGGACATACATCTTATTTTCTGGGACTAGTAAGTGAAAAGACATTAATCAGATATCTGAGATTCACCATGCTTTATTAGAAAATCCCCAAAGTTACTCCAAGAAAATTTCCATATAGTTAAACATGAAATTCAAATATCTGAGGAGGTTAAGCGTAACCATAAATCATAATCTGATAGGTCCAAATCTAATTGATTTTCCATATTTGATTTCTTGCTTACAATATGATGGGAAACAACTTTTTATATCTTTTTGCATGTGTTTGTTACTTGCAGTTGCACCAGCATTGATTCAATCAATGAGCTTTTTCTGAAAAATACCATCAGTAATCAGGCATTTACTATCTGCAGCAAAATATGTGTTGTCTTGCACTTCCTTTTCTCTAATTTAATAGAAAATTAGGAGGATGAATTCTGCCCCACAATCTAACTTAGTAAAGTAAATAATGATACTTGATACTACAAAAGAGGGGCTGTCTCCATGCATTGGTTACAAGATCACTCCTTGAAGCAGTTATGACTGATAGTGTGAATAGAGACAATCAGTTTCAGAAGGGACAGAAATTACAGTTGTGCTGATACACTGGTAGTCTTTTATTACTAAAAGTTACTAACCCTTAGTGAACTTCATAACATGAAATGTCTTGAATAAAGTCTTATATAAAATGTAACTATTTTTCCATGTCTAAAGTTTACTTTAAAAATGTGAGTACATGTTCTTCCTAAAGCCCTTCATTCTTTCATCAAATGTACTTGCTTTAAATTCATTGCTTTTTCCACTTTATAAACTAAGTGGATTTGAATACTTACAGGAAGAATCTAAAGCATTTGGTTGTTATTAGTGTGGAGATAGCTGACTCACACATGCAAAAAATTAAAGAAACTCAGAAATGTTCAAGTGATATTTGTTTTGTTTTGGGGCTATACAGCACCAAACCACATCCTGTAGTACAATGGGTATTTTCCCTTTTTATTTTTGTTGTGCAGTATCTTTTCAGGTTAATAAAACAAACATGGACATTATTTTTATTCTCTATCCCCACATTGATTTTTTTTTTTAATATAACATACTATGCATTGTTGCTCAATGATTTTTATTTCTCTTTTAAAAATCCCTACCCTTATATTTCTTTTGCTCAGGAGTCTGTTATGCGAAGGGTGACATAAAACAGAGCTTATGGTTGAGGATCTGTGATACTCTAGATAGAGTGTCTGCAGTTTCCTCCCACGACAGTATATCAAACACACAGGAATCAATGATTCCTTCAAGGTTTTCTTTTTTTGGTTAATTTTCAGAAACCACTATTCATGCCACAAATGGTTCTTGATTCACTTTGGAAAAGTGGTATTTCCTGATTTTGGCCTCTGAGCAGCATGGTGTTTTGAGTACTATGATCATATTTATGCAGAATCCTTTCCCTGACCAAGTCATTTAGGTAATTCTGTCAAAAGAGAAATTCATTTGTACCCTATATGTTCTTTAAGTGGTCATCCAATACTGCATTCATCCAAGCTCACATTGAATGTTCTCTGTGGGTGGTCCTTTAGGTCTTGTCAGTTTTAATTAGTGATTACAAATTTAAACAACAGAAACTTGTCTTTATCATGGCAGTTAAGTTTTGCTATGACCTGCAATTACATTTAAGGTCTGAAATTCTTATTTCCCTTTCTACAAAAATCTCATTTGTGAAGAAGAAAGTTGGAGATAAAGTATCATGAAATACAATGCCAGCTATCAGCTAAAATGTCTCTCAAAGAATTCTTGGTTTGAAACAGTTGACTTTATATAAGGACAGGAAATACAATCTATTTTGTAGTTTACGGAAAAGCTGTTTTTTTTTTTCTTTTTGCCATTTTTTTGAAAAAAAAAAAAAGAACAGCTAATATTTAAATAACAGGTTAAGATCGAAGTGCTGGTTAAACATTGACTTAAATAACTTACAGAAGATTCCAACTACACCAGCCTTTATAGAGGTTAAACATTCTCAAAAAGACACATTAAGCAAGGCTCTCCCTTGTACCAAAATACAGCTTCCAAACAATAAAAATAGAACCAACTTTTTCACAACAAGAAATATTGAAGATAAAACTGCAGCATCCATATAATCTCATACTTATCAGTTAAAGTATTTAGAACAAAATAATATTATACTACTTTTGTTTCTTACTAAAGACACTGAAAAAGGCTTATTGATTTATTTAGTGGAATACAATGTGAAGACAGTGGTAAAAATTGGTTGATGTACTGTTTTCTATTTACCTGCTCTAACAAAATGAATCTCAATATGGTTACATTGGTGAGCTATCCAGAGCTCTCTAAAATTACAGAGTAAAGCAAAACATAAAACATACCTTATGTACCTTTAATTGAACAGACTTCATATTATGCTTAACTTTATTATACTGCAGTTGCTCAAGTTAAGCCATGGGACTAGTAACACTTCATAAAAATGTGCTGGATACTATGTATTTTAAGCCTTCAGTTACTATGATGGATATGAAAGGCAGGCTAAAGCTGGATAACCAGCACAGCTTTTTGGTTGTGTCTCATATATAATATACATGTGAATAATAATCTCTGATAAATGCATGAGTATGACTTTGGATCTCCTGTCCCTCAGTCCTTACTTAGGTATCTTTCCCACTCTATGCATGTGATTCTGCAAGCTGATAACTAGAACAGATGGGCTGAATGGGTGTATTAGTTGAGTAAGCAGTGCAGGACTGCGTGTCCTTTTTTACTTATGTTTCAGATGCCAAATTTTACACTTGGGAGTTACACACTCTAACATTTGTAATCTCGGTGACTTTAACACGGCTGTCAACATCTATGTTCCAGCCCAATGCCTGCTGCAGAATATTTCACTGATTGCGATGCATCAGATCTTCACACTCTTTAATTTTAACATTTGTAATCTCAGTGACTTTAACACGGCTGTCAACATCTATGTTCCAGCCCAATGCTTGCTGCAGAATATTTCACTGATTGCAATGCGTCAAATCTTAGTTTTAAATTGGAATCAGTCAGATGAATATACACATGCACTGACACCCAAGTACATATGCGGCCCCTTCTCTCTATTTCAACAGAAAGACCCTTTGAACAAAGTATTTTTTGAAGTTTGCTCTTGAGTGTTGATAACTAAAAAAAGTTATTCTCTCCAACATAAAGACACCCAGTACCACAAATGCAAGCACTGCTTGTTTGGTCTTTTTGCTTAAGTGCAAGACAGTTTAGGAAAAAAAATGGATTATACATATTAAATTCTGCCTTTAAAGCCTTGTCTACTACTTATTCTCAGAGTACTTCTGAGGTTTTGACATTTAAATCTATCAACCTCTGTGTGAAGTACTGAGAAAAAGGGAAAATAACAGAGAAGTAAATGAGGAAAATATTTCAAATCAGAAAGATATTTAACATCCTATTAAATAAATAACTTAAGAGAGAAATAAAAAGAAATGAATTTTGAACATACAAGCAAACCATACTATTCATTTTGTTAGAACAGTTTTATACTACTTTGCTTATATTCCTTAAGTCTATCCATTCGTCCACAAGGCTCCTCCAGAAATGTCATAATTTGTGCATATGACCCAAGTGCTTCCAGTAAATGTTTGTGTGTCTAACTGTTCATTGGATCATTAGGCTTGAACGAGCAACTAAGGTCTTTGATATGAGTTAGTATTCCATAAATAACTTTCCCCATGAAGACCATTCAACAGATTGTCTCATGTTCGTTAAGTTCTGTTGCAGAGATAAAATAAAATTAAAAAAAATTGTTCACACTGGCAGTAACTTACATCCCCATTGATCCAGCTTATATCTTGATTATAAGATATGACACTGAACTGATTAAAAGTATTTCATATGCCAGTAATGAGTACAAAACCTTCAAATGCTTCCCCTGCTCTCTTTTCAAACAAGCAGATGTCTGCACTATTTCTTTGCATTTACTCTTCAATAAGATTACTGAATATTCTTGACATAAGAGCCTTTGGTTCAACTGTATCAATAGAATAGTTCCTTCATCTATGACATCACTACCATTGGAAGAAAGTGAGCTGAAGTGTTTTTCCTTCTTGTTTTCTGTCCTCTCTTTGTGGCTCCCCTTCCATTCAGGGCCACAAACATTTGCCTTCCGTTGTGCTTCCAATTTAATGACGCATATGTGTTATATCCATTTTCTTCTATTCTTTCCTTCAATTTGCAATCACTGTTAAACTCCTTCTGTTAAAAGAAGAAACCAAATACACAAATTCAGAAAAAAATAATCTGTCAGAGTTGCAGTATAATGAAGGTAAATCGTTTCTAAAAGTGTTCTGGAACATTTGAGCAGTGTGTATGCAACACACTTTTAGAATTCTACAGTGTACTTAAAGAAAAGTTTCATTGTGTACATAGCATTTAAAGCAACATTAGTTAGACTGTAAAAGGTGAAATCAACATAAGACTTTTTTTTTTGGTGCATAATTACAGCGGTGAAATTATATAATTCACTCATAGCTGAATTTAAACTCTGTGTTGGAATATAGCAACAATGTTAAATCATATTCTCAGTCATAAACTCAAAGTATGAGGTAGCACTCTTGGAACCATTAATCATAACAAATATAACTCTTAAATATCTTGAATGAGATTATTGATACCATATGTTAAACAAACATTCATGGCATAGGCCTACTTCTCATTTAAGTAAGATCCTTTACACCACACTGGCATTTCTGGATGTGTGCAAGTCACTGTTACACTGCTGTTACGATGCATGTGAGGCTTGTTTAATTTGCAGACCTGGAAAAGGGCTTAGACTAAAGAAGAATCATGGATGGTCCTGTATCTTATTGACTAAATAAACCTGAAAGCAATTTTTTTATATGGTGCTAGGGATTAGGGTTTTTGTTTTTAAAGGAGAGCCAGTTGACAGTTTGCTAAAAAAAAAATACAAAAATACAAGCTGGTGGAAGCATGTAGGAGAAAGACCATTTTTGTCTATAATGTTAAATGCACTTTTATACATATCTTCTGTACAATGAAGATAAGAATGCTTTGTTTCAACAAACAAGTACTTTCTACTTGTTTGTAGTGGGTATAAAACTCCCTAGTTTTATCAAGTTACTTGTATTCCACTTAGAAGGCTTTTGAAAGGGGAATAATTACAACATACTTTAATTACAACCAAAAATTAGTATTCAGAAAATGAGATGTCATTTCACAGCTCAGGCAGAAGCATGTCACAATCTTAGAGTGTGATATATTAACTACATGTGGTATTTTTACCCTGTCTATGAACAAGATAATAAATATGTCTCAACAATAAAACAATTTTCATGGCACAGATAAGAATTTTAGGGGCATTTTATCTTTTATTATGATCAAAATCCTCAGATATTCAGCTAGTAAAGATATAGAAAGTATCCACAGGAATAAAAAAGGATATATTTTAAAAATATATTTTTCATTCCTATTAATTTAAATCAGAATTTTTAAACTGCCAATGATCAGTACTTTGATATAGTAAGAACTTTTGGGTCTGTAATTAATATTTCACTTATTTGCTGCTAAGGCCACAGAATGCTTATATTTTCCTAGCAGAATTTTGTATATTCAGACTTAATTTGGTTCCCAAAATGTTCTTTGACTTTGGAATTAGTAGTTAGTTGAACAATGTCTCGCACGATCAAGAGAAGACTCTATATGATCCTTGATACTGCCCATATTCATAAAGATATACATAGCTAATTTAATATTTATTTACTGCAACATGCCACCTCTGGTGTCAAGATACTAAGGACCAGCAATCAGTTCTAAACTCTGCTTATTTTGTTAAAGAAACCAAATAGTCTTCTTTTAGTCTCTCATTCGAACCAAAGTAAGTCAAATGGAAAAGTATTTGATAAACATAGAAAGTCTTACTTAACTTGTTTTCCCAGATGCAGAACTGTACTCAAATCCAAACTTTTATCTCTATTCTTAGATAATAAAGAGAGAACAGATGATGTTGTGATGTGGTTAAGAAGTCTTATTGGCAGGAGTCTGAGTGTCAGCTCGGTACTGCTTTGCTCATTTCAAACAAATTTCAGCATAAACCTACACCAGTGTCTATTGTGCACATGCTCAAGAGTGTTTTTAAAATTGTTATTGGTTCTGGTTTTCATATTCATCTGCAAGCTGCCACATTGTAGTAATATGAGTCTAACTGCAAGTCTTGGGAGGATGGGAAAAATAATAACAGAAGGATTCTTGAAATCTCTGAGGTATTATGGAATAGGTTTTGATAAGCCATTATGTTGTGATTTTATGATGTGAATATTGAAAAATTATCTCAGCTGGAATTAAAAAAAATGCTTTCCACTTTCGTATCCTCCTGTCAACACTATTTCTAATACGCTATGAATTACTGAATCTTATGGAAGCAGTTTCCACCTAGGTACCTGAAAGCTGCTTTGACTTCTTTTGTGTGCATATAGGGTTGGGATGGATTCTCACCATATACCAGCTGTGGCTAAAACATGGGTAGAAAGATCTTTTCTCAAGCTTTGGGAAGGACCATCATAAATGACTAAATCAAACACTGTAAAATGAGATGTGTCAATTGAAGATGGTGATTTATGCTATCGCCTTCACATAAGTGCAGATGCATATCCACGATCAATTAGTGTAACTTAAGTTACAAAAGGTTACTTTGTCAGCAACTCAGTATATCTTATACCTCCCAGTGGTGCAGGACTGACCACTGATTATCCTGTATTTCTGACTAGTGTAATACTAGAAATTAAAATACACACTTACAGGAGTTTAAGAAAAATTTCTTTGTTTTGGTCTCTCCTGAATGTGATTTTTCGACACTGTACAGGAGTTTAGAAAGGAGTGACTAGCTACAATGCAGATCAAGAAGGACAGTTTATATAGTTTGTATGAACTACACCCAACCCATAGAAACGCTTCCTTAAAACACAGGACCAAATGACTTTAAGCCCCTGGAGTTGCAGTTGAAACTGGCATTACTTCATTTTTTTCAGCAGAGGTAAGAGGCTTAGCTGTATCGCCTGAGGATAAAGCCAGCCCCAGTATCTATCTGTGACCTGCTCTTTTTTAAGCATATAGGTATTTGAAAGCAATCTAAAGATTGGTTCATAACCTTTGCATATGACTTGAATAAGTTTACATTTATGTGGGCTCATACTCACTGGAACTGGCAAAACTGGCCTAACTACAGGCAAAATTACAAACCAAACCAAATGTAATACCAGAACAATCTGGTATTTGTGTAATCACATGGATGTGTGAGGGTACACTTGAGTTTAGTAGTCAGATTTATAGATTATTGTATCGGACACTCTTCAAATTATACCCAAATTCAGCTCAGTCAAACCTTATCTGCTTATATATAAGTTCACATCTGTCTGCACTGCCCATAATCCTGTTTGTTAATTAGTACACTCAATTGGAAGCTGACTACTCTAGAAATCTTCAAAGTTGTAATTTCATATTGGATGTGTCTGCTTCAACAGCTGATGTTTCCAAGATTTCAGGTACACTTTATCCACACATAGCAAATTACTGATAAATGTGACTGCACTGCAGAAAACCAGAGAAAAACAGCTTTAAAGATTACATTTTGTAGGATCCTCTCCATTGGCCACTACTTAATAAGAAAACTGACTGAAGCAATAAGCACAATAACTCCCAGCAGCTGCTTTGGTGTGATACAAGCTTAACAAACAAAGGGGAGATTGTGGAGAGTGAGGGTGCTGGTTTACCAGAGGATGAAACAGCTTATTTCAGCTCTCATTAGTCATAATACACAGTATTAGGGTTTTCAATAAGTAAAAAAGAGAACTATGTGGATAACTGAAATCCATTTGGAAGGTTAAAAAATACTTACAGAGCCGTAGACTTTTCCTTTCTTGTTCATGGCTAAATAATAGTTGCTCTTAATAGATTTAACTGCCACAACTCCAATTTCTACAGATGTTATTTCCAATATGCCTAAAAAATAAAAATTGAGCTATTTAATCACTTCATTAGAGGATTTTCTTACTATAGAAAGTCAATAAGCCTGAAGAACATTAAACTTCTAATATTCAGAACCAACTGACCAACAAACTTTTGTAAAATTTTTTAAACCATTACAAGAATATACACAAACATTGTTTCAATTAATGTTTCCTTTGCTAACCCTGCATTTTAAACCCGACAAATACTGAAACAGCTTTATTCTTCTTAGCATAGATCTTAATAAAATTTATCATAAGAGACATCTGAACCACAGCATTAAATTAAATCTACAGCATATGTCAATAGAAATGTTAGATTTCCCACAATCTTCAAAACCCGTGGTAAACTATTTATTTCTTGTAGGACATTTAGATAAACTAAATCTCTTGGCTGAACTGAGCTGATAAATTCACTTTTGGCAAGTGTGTTGACATTCTGGGATATAGTAAGACTAACCCTAACGGCCACACTATCTTTGTCTTTCAGATATCAGAAACATTTTGCTCTGTTTGTAATAAATATGATTAATTTTTTTTTTTCTTTAAAACAGACTCTTTCTGGTATACTGGATGGCTCAAGGGGCCAGTAATGGGAGACAGGAATTTTCATCTCTATGTTTTCTGCCCAAGAGCATACTGATTTGGGAGCAGTAGAAGTTACTTGACTTTAAGAGATCCCTTTTCAAATATTGCTAGAGTAACTGGATGGCTATGCTGTTTTATCATTGAATCTTAATACAGGATAAGTATATCTCCAACCAAATAACTTCTAAATTGTTTATCCAGGTAGTATGCCTGGCTCCAACAATTCTCCTGATATTAAAACAGTAGTAGTCAGAACAATTATACATCTAAATCAGTAGTCACTAAGGGTCTAAAAATAGGGAAATTACAGGAAGGGCAAAAGTGTTTAGAAACTGTAAAGAACATCCTAGACCAAGTAGAGCAAGCAAACAAATAATGTGACAAATAGATCAGGTGGAAAAACCTTGCTGAATTGCTACCTGTTTAAAAAAAGAAAAAAAAAAAAGAATCTGCAATAATTTATTTCTCAATATATTCTATGTTTTTTGTCTGAACAGGGTAGTACTGGAAAATCCATATATTTTTTCATTTACTTAAAAATTCCTTTTGGTAAACACAGATCCACTGAATCCAACAGTGTAACTTGGAATTCAGGGCTTTTCACGGAAATTCTGATTTTCTGTCCCTGAAAACTGAATGCAGTCTGTTCAGAATGTGGAACCATGTGGACTTTATTGTGGAGCAGATGTGAGGAAGAAGTTCTTTTGCTGTAATATTTTTTTAAATGGCTGCTTTATATACAATGCAAAAGCCATTCTGTATGGGCATTGAACTCAGGAGCGAGGGTGCTACTTCTTCTCTGACTGGAAGTAGAGACTTTCATGTTAGCTGGGCAGCAGCTGTGAGTCAAGCATGAGAAGGCAATAGCTGATTTTTATTGGGAAGTAAACTGATGACACAGTTTATGTGTATGAAGGAGAGAGAGAACATCAAACTGGCCAATTTAACATGAAAGACCTCCTTTTGTCAAGAATAAGCGGTGGCTTTTCCTGGATGCATTTTAAAATATATATATAAAATTCTGTATTTATATAAGCTGCAAAATATTTTGATATTAAGATATATAAATTCTAATGCAATAACCAGAACCTTTGTTTTTACTTAGTGAGAAACATTAGGCTGGCAACAGATATAAGGTCTCTAGTCTTTACATATAAGAAAGACTTCAGTGAGAACTGCAAGATAAACAGTAGGTCTAGGACCTATTGAAGCCCCTCAGAAAATGGAACATATTAAACAAGAAATAATGGGGAAAAAAAAATACCTTGCTCAACTCTGTAACGAGATGAAAGTGAAGGATTCTTTTGTTTAAATATTGGTATAAAAATACAAATATAAATGTTGACAGACACATCAATCATGTGCAATTAAAAAAACCCCAATTGATAAAGTCTGCTGTTGCAAGATTTTTATGATATGATTCTTATTTGTAGCATTAAAAAAAAATCAGCATTGCTAGGGGTAGAGTTCCATTTATAAACTAAGAAAACTTTACCTTTACTGTGAAATATCTGAATATCCACTGAGCTTCTTATAGCTGTGTGAGAACAATTCTGCATTAATGGCCTCTCAATCTTGAAACTCAGATTTGAACAAGCAAAGTGAATGCACAGTTGCATACAGAGCTGCAAGTCTGCTGCTTTTGAGAGAGAAAAACAGTTCCCCAAATTAGCTTATTCCATCCTCAGTGGTACCCAACAGAAGCAAAGGCCTCTTCAGTAGCTTGAGGTGCTTAATTACTGCCAAGCAGAAAAGATATGGCTGGCTGTCTAAACAAAAACTCTAAACACGACTTCCATTAGTTGTAACTAATGTTAGCTTGAGAATTAGCACAAGATGCTTAGGTGGAAATAAGAGGAGCTACAATGTGGGGAACTCTGTAATATAAGAAGACTCGGCAAATGTGAAGGAAGAGTCAGTTAAGACCCATGACCTACTTTGAAGGCTAAATGGTCTACTTTTGCAAAGGAGCCATATATAATTTTCCATACATAAGCTGAAAAGAATAATGCTCTCTCATCTCAAGAGAAGTTGTGAAGGCTCCTTAAATAGGTCTTGATAGTCAGCTCATATATACCAAATGTCATGCCATTGATATAAGCAGATCACAGAGTTCATACTAGCCAAGGCCTATCATGTTTATATTAGTCTTAAATTCACATTTTCACGTTTTCACACTTTCAAAGTATAGAAAACTCAAACTTGTTTTCCTGACTTTCTGTGAGAATATTAATACAGAACAGTGGACTTTAATATTTCTCCCATGTGAGACATGACCTAAAGTATTTGTGCTGTAAATGAAAAAAAGTTAAGTGGGGTGCCTAAAGTTATGTGGGTAACAAGCTATCAGATAATAAGAACGCTGTGCAAACACTACCACAGTGTTTTGCTGTTTTTTTTTATTGTATTTTTCATCCAAAAAGTGATGCGAAGACTTTAGTCAATTCTTTCTACAGAAATTTATTGCTGTATCCTGAACTGTGTCACCAGCAAAACTAAGCTGGGTCCACCCATTTCTAACAAGGGCAGCAACCAAAAAAAACCCCTACAAAACCTCAAAGATACTGACATAAAATGTGCCATTATTAATCTTTATGTTAAAATGGATGTTATATTTTGAAATGAAGTTATATTTTGTCATATTATCCATGAAAATAACACCACGTTAGACCATTTCAAGTCACTGTTACACCTGAAGCTGAAGGAGAACAGTTCTTAAATAAGAAATTTGTACTGAATAAACCCATTTTAAGTGTCTTGTACTTGAATGATGGAAATGGTATGTCCTCTTCAGTACAATACCTAAGCTAACACAAGTATTCATACAATAAAAGATAGTAATTTTTTGTGGTGAAGTTTGTTTGCAATCTTACGTTCCATTATATCCTCAGTGGAGCAGTTGAAAGGAGGTAATCAGGCGTAATGTTACTACATTTACATTTTGTCTTCAGTAACTAGCTTAATTATACCTAGTTACGCTATTTAACTGGAGCCAAATGTAGCTGAATTCTTCAGAACTATTATCAGTTTGATCTCATCACCAGTGTTCCTGGATTTATTGAGTGTGTTTTGTGTATTTGGAAGTTGAAAAGTGCATAATTTTCCATGACAATTTTGCATATTCTAACCTCTGCAGTATTTGGTGGGGAGAAGGGAAAATTTTATTGAGTATTTTTCTTTTAACTTAGTTTAATACTCTTGATCTATCACGCTTTAGTAACAGGGACCTAATAATGCTAAAATGGTAATTTCCTACACTGCTACTCTCTATATGTCCCAGATACCCCACTGGAATTACATGATAGTTACAAGAAGAAAAGTAGCTTTTGTCTAGATTGCAAATTATTCAGTATTATTTACAGATTTTCTCAGGAGACTCTCTTATGAGTTTGATACAAATCTATTGAAGACAAAAGGAATCATTTCCTAGGTGCCAGTGATGTAGACGAAAATTTCAAAGGTCAGCATGAGAACACCAACTCATCTGACATGGATCTACAAGCAGAAGTCATTAAAACCTTTCAAAACCTTGGAATAGACGGGATTGAAATCAAATGCCTTTGATGTAAGGGTGAAAATATGTATTTGATTATTCTTGAGTCATTATTAAGTTCAGCAGGAATGTATAAAAAAAGAAATTGAGACATAACAGTATGAAGTTTAAAACTAGTGTTTTCCCCATCTAACGAAACTGACTTCTTTGACGGCACAACAAATTTTGTATTTTCCTCAAGGTCTATGCAGTAGAGTCATTGGCTGTGATTGCACGTCTATACTACTGCAATAAAAAATAGGCTGTCAAGCTTAACTCTCTAAAATTTCATATTCTTCAAGTGCTACAGGCTTGGCGGTAAGAGCCTATGTGTTGTCATAGACAGTATGTCTGAAAGGACGACAGACCACTGTGGGTACTCCCCTGGCCTTAGTTAGGAGAACAACGCTTGACAGATGGTTGCCCTCAGACACCTTCAAAAAATTCAATTCTATGACCTGCCAGGTAAGCTCCTCTCCGTCTACATTAGAAAGTGTTTTAGAATCCAATCTGCAGGTCGAAGGAGGTGATCCTACTCTACTCTCTTCTCGTGAGACCCCACTCCTGGTACTGTATACAGTTCTGGTGTCCTCAACATATAGAGGACATGGAACAGTTGGAACAGGTCCAGAAGATGGCCACGAGGATGATCAGGGGACTGGAGCATCTCCCGTATGAAGATAGGCTGAGAAAGTTGGGGCTGTTCAGCCTGGAGAACAGAAGCTGTGTGGAGACCTCAGAACAGCCTTCCAGTATTTGAAGGGAGCCTACAAGGATGCCAGAGAGGGACATTTCATCAGGGACTGTAACAACAGGACAAGGGGCAATGGGTTTAAACTGAAACAGGGGAAGTTCAGGTTACATATACGGAAGAA